TCCATCTAAACATCGAACCTCCATCAAGGAAAAATCTTGAATACAAGAATTTGGATTCGTTTGATGAAGAGAAACATAACACCCCGACAACGTCTCCCAAGGAGATGATCGCCGACAAATGGCGGCATCTTCACGGTTCTATGGATTGGGGGAGCCTTTTAGACCCGCTCCCTTGGCTGCGGCGTGAAATCGTCAAGTACGGCGAGTTTGCGCAAGCCACATACGATGCCTCAGACTTCGACTCTTTCTCCGAGTACTGCGGGAGTTGCATGTATAATCGCAACAAGCTATTTGAGAAACTGGGCTTGTGTAAAAATGGTTACAAGGTGACGAAGTACATCCACGCCATGTCGACCATCGATATGCCGCTGTGGCTGGAGCGGTCACGGTTGATGGATACATGGAGCAAAGATTCCAACTGGATGGGTTACGTTGCGGTTAGTGACGACGAGGAGACGCGGAGGATCGGGAGGAGGGATATTGTGGTGGCATGGCGGGGCACGGTGGCGCCGTCTCAGTGGTACGACGATTTCCAAAGGAACCTCGAACCGATCGGGATCGGCGATGCTAAGGTTGAGCATGGATTTCTTAGCATATACACTTCGAAGAACGAGTCCACACGGTATAATAAGTCGAGTGCTTCGGAGCAAGTGATGAAGTTGGTTCAATTCTATAGAGGAAAAGGAGAAGAAGTGAGTTTAACGATAACCGGGCACAGCTTAGGCGGTGCATTGGCGCTGCTCAGTGCATATGAAGCAGCCGCAATCTCCCTGGCGTTCCAGTAAGCGTGATCTCCTTCGGTGCGCCTCGAGTCGGCAACAGCGCCTTTCGGGATGAGCTCGATGATTTAGGAGTCAAAACTTTAAGAGTGGTGGTTAAGAAAGATTTAGTCCCTAGAATGCCAGGGATTGTTTTCAATGAGAATTTGCAGAGGTTTGATGATATAACAGGAACATTAGAATGGGTTTATACACATATTGGTGCCGAATTGAGGCTCGATGTTAGTTCATCACCTTACCTTAAACGCGCTTTCAATCCGCTGGGATTTCATAGCCTCGAGACGTACCTTCATCTTGTCGATCGGTTCCACAGTGCAGGGTCTGCCTTTCGATCTGATGCTCGTAGGGATGTTACCTTGGTGAACAAGGCATGCGATATGTTGGTGGATGAACTAAGGATTCCTCAATGCTGGTACCAGTTGGCTCACAAAGGGTTCGTTTGTAATGAACACGGCAGATGGGTTAAACCGAGACGAGAACCCGAAGACATTCCCTCACCGATCGGAGATCAAGCACGCGAACATAGTCTTAGAATTCAGATGCAGGAAAATCATCAAATGTTGTATGCAAGCTATCAAACTTGACTGTATATTGATCAAGAAATGCAAAGCACTTTTCAAGGCAAAGTTCACTTCTAAATCAATCCAATCCATATATATACACACACAGAAATTTACTTCTGCGAATACATATATGTATACATTTAGGTGTGGTTCACTTACAGGCAAGTATTTGATCAAATCGGCAAGACAGTCTTCATGTCCTTGTGCATTGTTCTAATCACGGTTGTAACCTGCTCAATCTGATCTTCACTAGAACATGCAGAGAGAAGTACCTTGGCAGTTCCTCCATCTGGATAACAGCCGGAGTCGATCATTTCCTCGAAAATTTCTAAGCATCTTGTATATAGTTTCTTTCTAGAGTAGGCTCCGAGCCGTGAAGTCCAGGTTACCACATCAGGCGTCAAATTCTTCTCAGGAAGCGATTCGAACAGTTCTTCCATCCGGTAGAAAAAGCCAGCCCGTCCGTAAACATTGATCAGAATGTTGTATGTGCTAATATCAGCTTCATAAGGTCCCTTTTCCATTGCAGTCAAAACTTTCTCCATGTTTTCAAATTGACCTAACTTGCCATACAAGTTCAACATACTGTTGAGGACAAAGGTATCTGGTTGAAGTCCAGATTCCTGTATTTGGTTCACAATATCCTCACACTTAGCTATATTGCCGACTCTGGAATAGGCAGAGAGAAGTAGCATGTGAGATTTCATCGTCGGTGTTATTCCTAGCTTCTTCATCTCTTCGAATACCGATTCAGCGTCTGAAAATACACAGGAATAGGAAACTATCATATGCTAACTAATACGAGTCCGATAATATCTCGAAAATCATGCAAGTGATGATGAAATGCATGCAGTCTGGGGTAAGTCCTCAGTAACACCATGTTCTTGATTTTCAATAAAGATATTTACCATCATAAAGGCCAGCTCTACCATATGCATCAACCATGATATTAAAGGAAGCTCTGTCTGGTTCACACCCCATGTGCTGCATGAGTGAAAATACTTCGGCCGCCCCGTACGGATAGCCTGCACGACTGTTGGGGATAAGAGAGTCAACAAAGCTCTGCATGATAAGAACGATACTCGAGCCGAACTCAACTTCAGCTAGTCCAGGGTATAGGGAAGTAATAGAATGATAAGGGACTTACCTGTAAGCTTCCATGAGGGCATTGTAAGCATACACATCAGGCTCGTGCCCGGCTTCTTGAAGCTGTTCGAAAATCTCTTCGGCCTTCTCACAGAGTCCCTCCCTGGCGAAAGCATTCACCAGAGCCGTATATGTGCAGATGTTCGGTTTACACTTTTGACTTCTCATTTCATCAAATAATTTCAAGGCCATATAAGATTTACTTGCCTGCACAGCAAATTAGCATGTATGTACCACCGAATTACGTTCACTGAATAACGTAGGATCACCGGGATAGTTTTAGTTTACCTTCCCATATAAGTTGATCATCAGCGTGTAAGTTTCGGTGTTCGGTTGAGATCCATCTCTTTTCATCCTCTGAAATATTCCTATAGCCTTTTGGGAGTTTCCTCCCTTCATCAACCCATCAATATAAGCATTGTAAACAATTGCACCTGAAGAAAAGATCATTTATGTAAATCCGAAGCAAAAAAAAAAAAAAGATTAACACCACTCAAAATCAAAGATCACACGGTGATATAGAGAGGCAGACATACTTGGGGAGAGACCATCCTTTCTCATCTCGGCAAAGACGGCTTCGGCTTTCTGTTTCAGCCCTGCTTTGCAGTAGGCCTTGACAAGAAGGGCATAGGTATCTTCAGTCGGTATACATCGAGCTTCGAGAAGTTCCAAGTACGTAGATTCGACCTTCTTGTACAAATATTTCTGCCCATAAGCATCTAGCAGCAGATTGAAGCACATAACATCCAGCTGAAAGGAGCTCCTTTGCAGTATCCATTCACAAAGCTGTAGAAACAATAACCAATCAACAAGAAATAGATATGCCGAGTTCCTACTCGATAAGAGCATGCAATTACAGTTAATCACATTCAAAATATCTGAGAAATACTAATGGCTAATGGTATATTGCTCTAACCAGAACAATTGGATCCCATTTCTTGTTTAAACGGAGTTGAACAGCTACATTGATAAGATCATCCCAAGTAGCGTGAGTGGGAGGAAGACTGTCGAGTGAACCCCGAATCCGATCGGCATCGAACTCCTCCTGGAGGAAATCCAGAATCTGCTGAGCAATGGGGCTCAAAACAGGGAAAACTCCATCCACAAAACCAGAACCATATTTCCATCCCTGACCTCTTAAAGAACCACCTACATGGACAAGACTGAAATCCTAAAAGACTACTAAAAAACCAATAGATTCATTCAACTATAAAGCACTTGCAGACAGTATTACATCGTTTCCTGGATAGTTTTTTGTGATTAAAGGTCCTCAATTTGCCTCGTTTGTCGATGTAAACACCATCACGTTTCCATTTCTCGATAGAAACATCACCCGAAGAACTATTTGCCGCTATCCATCTGGGTCTATAGCTTCTTGGTTGAATGTAAACATGGTTGAGCGTGTTTCCAGCAAGCAGCCTGAGAGAGAGCATTGTTTGTTTTACTTTTAATGTGATAATGGTGATTGAAAATGAAACCCAGTTCGGAAAAGAAAGCAAAGGCCGCAAAAACAAGAGAGAAACTAAGAAAACAGACATCAGAAAACTGCTCAGAAATGGATATAAGAATGGAGGTGAAGAAGATTGAAAATGGAAACGCCAGATATATAGAAAATCTGAGAATTGAACTTAACATGATGAATCCCAAGAGGAGGGGCTTGCAGTTGAATGCTTGAGAGTTGAGAATTTACTTCCAAAAGATAACGTGGACTATAATAATGCAGACAACGGTATTTAGAAATATCTCGTAATATGACACTAAACCATTTGTCATCATCTTCTTCTTTTTTTTGTTACAAATTTGTCATCTTTTTTTTTTTTTTTTTTTTTTAATTTGGATTAATTTCTTGTAGCTTCAAATTGGTTTTGATTTAAAAGAAAAATTAAATTATTAACTTTTATTATGGATTTAAGTTTAATTTTCTTTTCAATTCAAAACAATTTTTAAGAAGTCAAGCTTCTAAATTTAATCGTTTGTATTATTTTTTTAAAAATTATAAATAATCACTATGATATAATATTATAAAAATTCAATCATTTTAAAGTTCAATAATCAAAACAGTCGTATAGTTTAATGATCTCTAGTGTATCTTACTTTGAACTTACGTTTAAAGTATAATAGTTTAATGATCCCTAGTATATCTTACTTTGAACTTAGATTTAGAGTATAATAGGTTTCGAGTAACAAAAAGTCACTAAACTATATAAAATTAATTTTTTGGCTAGTTAACTTTCAAATATTTATAAAATAATCTCTAAATTTATTTAACTATTACAAAAATAGTTATTAAACTTATTAAATCTATCATTATTCATAACATCTAAAAAATCATATTATAGCATTTCAATAAGTTCAATGACGTTTTTGTAACATTTTAAAAAAATTGATAATAAAAAAATCAAAACTTATGATGTACTTCACCTAAAAATTTATTAATTTTTTTTATTTCATTCACTTGTCCCCCCCCCCCCAAAACGATCCAACAACGCCCTCAAAATAATTAAATTTACTGAAATTGATTGTATAAGTTAATTAAACTAAACTCGAAGTTCATAACTCAATCCGATTTCAGTTCCAGCATCAAGCAGACATTGGTAAAGTTCTCAGTCTTCAATTCCAGTGATGAACTAAAAACATTTGACAAATCGGAAGTCGTTAAAAAAGCACTCGTACATAGTCTCGAATGGGAAGACAAGCTACTCGACTTCGGCCAAATAATCATCAATTTCGGCAGGTGTAAGTACCCTGCAAGATATAATGGACAATCAGAGTTCAATCAGAAGCAACAGTTACCGAAATTAAGAGACGAGAAATCGCATGAATGATAGTAGTAATTTCAACATACAAAATATAGGTGCTGATTTCACAAGGACTGGCACTTCTTAAAGCCAAAAGGCCATTTTTCCATCAGCAAAATGTTTAGGAAGGGAGAAAGAGTCAAAGCAGAGACTTGCCTGAATTTTCTGTCCGTTCCAATGATCCCAATTTCGATGTTTTTCCCTGAGATTTGTCCCTCGAATCTGCAAATTTGAGAAGTTGCTTGTAAGATTAGTAAAGATGAAAAACGCTCTATATACCACCTTAGACCGATATTCTTTCCAGGTTCTAAATATATAGATTATAGATCTTCCTAAACTCCAAAATTTACAGATAACCCGGTGGAGGAAATTTAACATTGACTTACCCCTCTTTGAGAGTCAAGATAGCAGTATGCACAGCATCATCAAGCTCCATGTCATCAGTGTATCTACAAAGAAAGACCATAATCAATTGCATTTACAGTGTTTCAACTATTTCTGGAAATGTAGCATAGCTATTGCATAATCCTAATCATGCAATGGCTGTCCGTCATCTTGAAGGAGCACTCCTATTAAACTCACGAGCATCAGTGACAAAGAATTGGATGCCACAATCATCCATGATATATGGCTACAAAAGAGTTGAGAATACTAGTGCTGGTTATTCTACAAACGTCGTCAAATACCAGAATTAATATAACATGGCAGGAAGCAACAAATGATTTAGAATTGAATGCTATAAAAACTACAATTTATCGCATGTACCTCTTCTCAAGAAATGTTTTTGCATTTGAGACATTCTTCCCCATTGCCGAGGCTTTCCATGAGAAATATGAACCAGATGGATCCACCTAGCCAAACGATACAGACTCATACAGATGAAAACACATAAAACATTCTATGCACTCCCTCAAACAATCCGATCTTAACTAAGAGAAATACCTGATACAACTGTGGACCATTGTCATCATATCCAGCAACCAGTAGAGATACACCAAAAGGCCTTACACCACTACAAATGAAAAGATATATCAGTCCAGAGCGTCGCATGAGTTTCAGTTTCCATTTTCTGATATAATTCAAAACAATCCAAAATGTAGCAGCAATGTATGTGAATTTTCCCCCAAAAATGAAGTTCATTCAAATTTTACACTTTCAGCCTCCACATGAGGCAGAATCTTAACACCAAAAACCACTTTATCTCACAGGAAAAACATTTTAAGAGAAAAAATTGTATCAGAATGAAGCCACATCCTCTTTGGTCACCAGCTATCTTGAACAAAAGCAAAACCTGGATTTGACTGAAAAGAGACTGCCAAACAACTCAATCTCTTCGATACAAATCAAAGTAGAAGTAAAAAGGTATGAATAACAGTTTTTTTTGTTAGCATAAGGGAGTAACTCTTACCCGGACTGAGTGAACTCCTGCATAACAGCTGCAGTTTCCCTAACAAGTTGTGTTACTGGAATTGGTTCCTGGAAACAATGTTCACGCATGTTAGAAAATAATGCAAGGTAGAAGAACACATATCACGGCAGCTATTTTACAACCATAATGTGACATGTGATTAATAAAAATTAAGAGTTACCATACCTTATATAACCTATGATATTGTTCTGCTTGCTTCCTACTTTTCCGAACCAAAACTCGAAAATCAGGACCCATTCCACTGCCGAACAGTATGAAAATATAATGATAAAATGGAAGTATAAGTGTCAAAATAAAGAAGTTATATTAGCAACAAAGAACTGGATTAAAAGTTTAAAACACATAAACATATAAGTTATATTAGCAACCCGTGAATCCGAATTTCTATATTAACCCATACAAAAAGAACTAAAGAAATTAGTTTTCTATAAGCTTGTAGACATGATAAGCAAACCTGTAAACAACTCCAATATTTGGTGTCAGACACTGTATTTTCTGAACCTGAAATCAGATAGCAAACAACGACATTCGGTAGTGATTAATAGCCACTCACCATATCAGAATGAGAAGTAAACTACTCCAGCTTTTAATAAAGTCGAGCATTAATAGCCACATTGACACCACGGGTGAGGCAATATTATATACAAAGTTACTCTTTCATATTACTGCAAAAATGAGTAAGTTTAACAAACCAAAAGTATATATATATATATATATATATCAAACAGATGAAAAGGCGAGGCATAATAAATAAAATACTCACAGAGGCTTCATCAACTAAGATTGAAGGCAGTTTCTTCTCTGTCGCAATCACAACTCCATTTGCAGCTGTGAATTTAAAACCCATCATCAAATTAAACTCAATGTATTTATTTATAAGCATAAATAATTTAACTCATCACCCGCTATCACACTAGTTCTCAAACCCTAAAACCGATCCCTTATAAACAGAAAAGAAGGGGGGAAGGAACCTTTGATTCCAAGAGATGTTTGACCGGAGCCGACAGCCGTCAAGGCGTGCTCGATCTGAACTAGCTTCCCCGAAGGACTATACAGAACACACGCACACAAAAGAGTTATGGATTTATTCAAAATGTAATTTTGAATTCAGTTCATTAATGAAGTTATCGGAAGGACGAAGGGGTTACCTGAAAGTTGTGAGGGAAAAGGAATATTGACTATCACCCATGGTTATGAAAAATTCAAAATCCTGAACAAATGGAAAAGAATAATAGAAATTAAAAGAAAAGGCGATGAATGTGACGATTGTAATTGAGAGGAAAAGGAGGAGTGATTACTCTGGATGGGAAGAAGGCAAAAGACGGTTTTCTCAAGGGTAAAATGCATAAACAGTCACTGGTTATAGAGCAGCTTTTTTATTGAATCCCCTAACTATAAAAATGCACACAATAATCACATAACTTTAAAAATAATAAATTAATTATCACTAAAAATTTAATTATAAATAATGTGATAATTAATAAAATTAATATAATAATAAATATGTTTATTTTTGTATGTACATATGTTATATGTGTATATTATGTGTATATGATAGGTTAATATTATTATTATATATTTGAGGATCCGAGTTCGATCTCCATAAATGTCAGATGTGTGAGTCTTCAATGTCAAAAGGTTAAAATTTTTCGTTAAACACATATTACCTTGTATTTACTCCAGATTAATAAAAGAATAGATATTCATATATAATTGTGTCTATTTGATATAGCTTAAATATGAATATTTTGAAGTTAATATCTCTATATATATGTTTAATATGCTTATATGTTAAATGAATAATATAAGATTAAATCATAAATATATAAAAACTTTAAAGTTACTTGATTATAAAAATGATTGATTTTGTTTCTCATTATTTATTGACCTAAATGATATTAGTATGATAATATAATAAATTATATTTTTATTATGTCCATTGACAGACACATTAATTTATGTCAGTGTACTAACTTATAAAATTGTATTAAAATTTTAGGGAGAGCGAAATTAGATAATCCATATAAAATACAAAGAAAGTATCTAAAATATAAAAAATTAAAATTTTTAAGGGATGCGACCTCATTCCCTAGCACCTCTTAATTCATCTGTGATTATGTTTATCTATAAAATATTAAAAAAATAAAGAAAATATAATTATATTTTCTTAATGTTCAATAAATAACATTAGACTCATTATGACAAAAATAATAGTATTTTTTTTCTTATAAATGTGTTCATAATATTCAATGTAGATCGCTATGTAAGTATCATAAACTATCATATTAATGTTATGAACTATTATATCCACATTATAACGTTTACGTTTTCTATAAATTAAAAGGTTATATTGATTTTTCTATTTTAAGGATTATATTAGATGTAAACTAAATTTAAGAGTCACCATTTTTAAAAGTTTGAAGAATTAAAATATAATTAAATTAATTATATAGATTAAATATATAATTTTAAATAACATGAGATTGTTTAAATTTAAGATTTCTAATAAGAATAATACTCTTTTTTAAATAATAACAATTAAAAATAATTAATAAAAACAATGTAATAAATCATAATTACAACGCACCCAAACATAGAGAAAAAAATGTTGACATTAGTCATAGAAATTACATACAAAAATAAATAATATTAAACCCAAAAAAATGATAAAAATTCATTGTCTATGTCGAACGAGACGCTTTATGAATTAATAAAAGAGTAGTGAGCTAACAAACTATTTGACAAGCTATTTTGCTACACAATTCTGATTATAGCGATAAATGACCTTTTATCAAAGAAAAAATCTGATCATACATGACCACCAACAAACTAATCAAAAAATAAATATCGTGAAGATCTTTGTATGAGCGCCAAAACGATCGTAGATGTATACGAAAAATGTACCAAATGTCATAAGAATCGTATCACAATAGCAAAGAAAATTTGTGCCCTAAGAGCAGAGAAAAATGTGTTACAATGATAGAAATTCTTATTTAAAATTTTAAAAAAAAATCTCAATAAAAAAAATAAAAGACATTATTGTAGACACTCATTTTCGTTCGAGAGTCGCCTCAAGGATTTCTATTATATATATAATTTTTGAAAACATATTATATAGTTTTGGAAATATATAATAATTGTTTTGAAAACATAAAATGTATAATTTTTGAAAACTTAGTTTTTGAAAATATAGTATATATATATTATTTTCGTTTTTTATCTATTTTATTTTATTTTTATTTAATTACATTTTTTTAGGTCCAAAGTTCGGTGCAAGGGAAATCCAGAAACCAAAAGTCCAGCGTGGGTAGGCCCAAACCTAGTCTGCCTGACCCAGCAGATTGGGTTTGGTCTTAAAGCATGCGAATCCAACATAGGGATCCAAACGAAGCAACCCAGTAGTCAAAGAAAGCCCAATAGACAAGCCTGGTCCAACAAGTCTATTAGGGTTTTAAAGGAATGGTCTTAGCGCCACTCAATGAGAGCCATCATATCAGAAAATATACCAAGGGCTCGGATCGAACATCATATTTAGGGTTAGGATAAACCCCTAAAGAAAATATATGCAGCCAAGCAAGGGTCGTTGGATATGGCCCCTTGATCTAACGATCAGATTTAATTTTATAAGGTTCTAGAACATCCAAGGACATCAACATATAGCGCATGAAAGTCACGTGCAAGATAGAACCCAAAATTCCAAAATTTTCGGCCGTGTGATTTATGGGGATGTCTCAGGTAAGATAACCTTAATATACGACTAAGGAAATGCATTACCAGAAACATTATTTTTTTAACATTTCCGGTAAAGAGCTATTTAAAACATTGTTTTTTCTACCGAAAATGTTAATATTGTGTGCTCCCTAAAATGTTTAACATTTTCAGTAAAGGTCTACCTAAAACATTATTTTTATACCGGAAATGTTAATATTGAGTTCTACCGGAAATTAGTTATTTTCGGTAAAAAAAATAATGTTTTATGTAGCGATTTACTGAAATTGTTGAAAAAATAATAACATTTCTGGTAGGGCATTTCCTTAGTCGTATATTAAGGCTGCCGTACAGTAAAACTACCACGTATCATCCCAAAAATGAGGAGAACCATAAACAAAGGAAACAATCATTTGCCATCAAATCAGAATCCAAATCAAACACCAAAAACAAGTCATTCGAATAGGGCAATATCCCACATACATGGCAATAGGTTACTATAAATTCCATAGATTTCGGGATGAAATCACCATCAGATTGAAGAGAAACACGTCCCCTTCGAGTTACTATAAATTCCTGAGAAGAAAAGGAAAAAAATGGGCAATCAGGGAAAGGTGTATTTTTCGAAAATCATCAAAACCACACAAAAAAAGGGAGAGGAACTTAGCTCGCTGTCACCGAAGGCGAGAAATGTTGAAGAGTTGCCGTTTTGAAAGAAAAACACCACCAGGAGAAAGAAGAGTCACCGAGAGCAAAGGTAAAAATTCGAAGTTAATCGATTAGATATAGGCCAAAAAGGCCTTTGTATGTGAGTTTGACGAGTAGATCTGGATTCGAGGGCGAAGGGGTTTTTGAACGGTGATTTTTGAGTTTTTCGATCACCGTGGGTGGTGGCCAGAGCGACGGCGAGGCGGCGTCGACCGGAGGAGCTCGACCGAAGAGGGAGAGAGGTTTGAGAGAGTTTTAGGAGAAGGATTCTTGAAGGTTTATTACAAATGATGAAGAAATGAGTTTTGGAGGCTTTTATATAGCAAGGACCAGAATGTAAATACCTTTTTCTTAAATTCTTTCCTAGTCAGTGGACGTTTGAAGTGTTTTTCAATTCATACCTATTGTAATTTGGCTCTTGGATTTCTTTTTAATGCAATCTAGTCATTTTCTGATTTTATTCAATTTTATTTATTATATTTAGTTCTTTTAAAAGCTAACTTTTTTATTTTTTTTGTTTAGCAAATTTAAATTTAAATTTTTTTTGTTTTGTATTTTTATTTTTACCATTTTTATCTAACTCAAATTTTATTTTTGAAGGGATTCAGGTAAAATTCAAACTTCATTGAAGATAAATAAATTTAGGTTAAATATAATTTTTTTTATCTAAATTTATTAATTTTTACAATTAATACAATCGGGTAATTGTGTGGTACCGAAATGGCGACTTGAGGGTGCTCATCCTTCCTCGATCGTAAACGACTTCCGAATCTGACACATCTTTGGTAAGACGCAGACCTAGTAATTGATAAGTAGGTATTCGATCTACTTAATTCGAAAATGATCGGTGGCGACTCCATCACATGATTTCAAGTCGAAGCGCGAACCCGAGGCCACCCGAAGGACCGTTGTGACGATTATATGAACACAAAAGAACCAATAGTTATTAGCGATCATCAACCAATATTAAAATTATAGTCGCATCTGGTTGAACAAATTTTTTTCCTATTAATCTAGAGTGATTACAAGGTAGTACATGTTTTAAATATTCTCAATAATTTGACAATAAAAGTTCATCATTCTTGCAATCTCTAATGCTCGAACTTGAAACTTCTAAAAGTAACAATCATTCCTTTAATCATGAAAATAAATTAATTCTTTGCTCGATTAAACAAAAGTTAAAAGAAGAAAAATAAAAAAAAGTATGAAAATATTAAGAAAGAAATCTATAAGTTAAAAACGAGTTTTTAAAGAAGAATACTCTTTTTACTGCTAAAATCATTCATAACGGAGAGAGTAATTATTATAATATAAGATAAATTTTACTTTTAGTATCTAAATTATTAGTTTTAGTATATTTTAGTACTTTAACTTTTAATTTTTTCAAAATTATATCTAAAGTTTAATTTTTGTTTCGTTTTATTATCCTATTCAAAATTTAATATTAAATTTTGAAAAAAAAAATAAAAGTTTAGATATTAAAAGGGACAAAAACTGATAGTTTCGTTACTAAATGTATTAAATTTTTAACGGTGAAATACTAAAATAAAATAAAAACTAAACGTTAGACATACTTTTGATAAAATTAAATATATAAATATTAAAACGAATTAAAACTGATAGTTTAATTGCTAAGTAAATATATGGTTTGTAGGCAAACGAAAAAGGATTTAGTTTTCCATCGTTCTATCTCCAAAATCATAGCGGCGTGTTTGTTTTTAAAACTAAAATTTGAACTCTGAAAACAACTCCATTTTTTCGGCGCTCTCAGCTACTCTACCAAACTCCCATATTTTTTTCCGTTTAGGTAACCTCCTTTTCTTTGTTTCATTCTGCAAATATGTTTAAAGCCACAATCAAAATCCATTTTTATAAATGTTTTAATCGATTAGAATCGATGGCGTTAACGCGGCGTGGGTTTTGATCATTGGTTTTTGAGTTTGTGGAAATCTTCGATTTCCAGGTGTTTCTCTTATCATTGTTATTTGATTTTGATTCTTCGGTGTAAATTCTCCTTGTTGAGTTTGTTTTTGTTGATCGAAGTTCTCTGGAAAACAATAATGAAATTTTGATAGCTTTGATGATTTAGGTATTGTCGTGGCGCGTGTAGTATTTTTCTTGTATAGTTTAGTCTATAGATTGTTTTCGTGATGTTGCTTAGATTAAACATGAATATAAGCAGGTTTTGATTGTTGAAGTAATTTTGACTTTGCTTGTCTAGTAATGAGAAAATTACAGGCGGATTGAAGGCTGTTGTATTGTTTTTTTCTAATGCTGTTAATTCGCATCGGATTAGTGCTCGGCTTTTGGTTTGTACTTATTTTAACATGATTCTAGTTATTCATCCATTTGAGTGTTTGCTTGTAATAATCAGATACATTCAATTGTATTGCTTTTAAGTCTCCAAGTCGGTAAATTAGATAATTATAGCTTTATGGTGATTGGATCAAAACATATAAAAGTTTCTTTCTTGCGAAGAGGTGGGGAGAAAGTAAGGGGAAGGGGTATGCTGTAGGTTGATGCCATTTTTGTACCCTAAAAGAACTTGGGTACTATATATAGGTTCAGCTTAATCAAAGCAATGATTCTGTTTTTAATTCAATAACTTTAACCTGTTAACGTTATACATATACACTTTCATTTGGTTACTGTTATTGTCGTTACTATTGTTGAATGACAGTGCCAGGGTGTTCTTGTGAGCAAAATGGGTGATGCAAAGAAGAACTATTTTTCTGGAAGTTGTCCCGAGTTTGGTGCAATCTTCATGTTGGACAATGCAACAAAAAAGGAATGTTTAAGAAGGAAAGTTTTTGCCCTCCCATATTCGCAGTCATACTTTGTGAAACAGGTTAAAGCCGGGATGATTCTGTTCCACTTTGAATTTGAGAGTAGAGAACTGCATGGTGTGTTTCAAGCATGCTCTGACGGTGCAATGAATATTCTGCCTTGTGTACTTAGTTCGTCAGGGAAACAATTGCCTGCTCAGGTATGGGTACATTTATTTCTGTTGAGTATTTCATGTTTTTTCTCTCTAGGAGGGATGGGAAATATGCGTTCTTGGAGATTTTAGTCCTTCCAAATTTTCGTCCAGGTTAAATTCACCCTCACGTGGTACTGTCATCCACTTTCTGAAAATGAATTTTGTGATGCTATCAGAGAAAACTATTTTTCAAAAACCAAGTTTAACTTTGGACTCTCTGAAGATCAGGTTTGCCCCTTTGCTATCAAAATCCAATTTGATAAATTGAAATGCCACCTTTCACAAGCGTTATAAATTTTTTCTTTGTTTAAAATGTGCAGGCGCGAAGGCTTTTATCGTTGTTCAGTTTGAAGAGGATGAAAGATCAGGCACCTCCACGTTGGTTGACCGAAAGTAAAGTTGCAAGGCAAAGTGGGTACTCTACAAGAAAAAATAGAAGACTAATTGATAAGTCTCCAAAGAGAAACCAAGTCCTAAGTGAATATGGTGTGGACAATCATCACGGACCAGATATTTCCACTATTCCCCGACGGAACTCTTTCTATAATGGCGACAGACCTTTTGATGATGGCAAATTTGGTATGTACGCGGATGTTGGATATGAGCATAAAGCAAGTGCCTTCTTAAATAAGTCTTTTCGGGATCCTGTGGGTAAGGTTGGAGGGGTCATAGCTTCTGCTGAATATGCCACAAGTGACTGGGTGGACACTGAATGGAAAAATGGTACTAAGCTTCAAGAAACAGTTTCAGTTGGATATTCTTCAGGTAATGTCATAAGCAACTCCAATGATGTTAGGTTTGCACAGAGTGATGGAATTGAAACTAAATGTTACAAGGATGATGGTTTTCCACCATCCATGTCAACAGCCTATCCCAGTTTTTTTCAATCTAAAGTTGATCCACATGTTCTAGAAACAGATTCATTTATCAATGATGTAACTAGGCCATCTTCAATGTTCCTTCAAACAGATTCATTTATCAATGATGTAACTAGGCCACCTTCAATGTTCTTTCCCTCGATGGAGATGCAAAATTCCAATATTAGTTATCCAATGAATTTTGAAGATTCAGTTGTTGCAAATAGTCTTTGTTATGGTTCTGATGTCCCTACTATGAATTATAGGGGCTGCTCATCTTTGGGGTTCAATCAGGGCCTTGCTTCATTGCAAGATGCTAGTCATGATAATTTTGTTGGTCACGTCATTGGTACTTCCCAAAATCAATCATTTATTTCATTGTTAGAGACTAGAAGAACACCCATAACCTCTGATGTCAACTCTGGTTCTAGGGGCTTCGTTACCTTGCACTATTTTAATTCATATGAACACTCCAGCAGGACTATCCCGCAAAGACCTGAGTATATAGATAACCTAGCAGCTGGATACTCTCAAATCAAATGCTCTGGAGATCTTTCCCTTCCGAAACCCTCTTTAGCACCTGTCCCTTTTGAAATTAGAAATAATGGTAGGATTGGTGAGCATTCATCATCTTATAGAACCAGTCCTAGCAAGTTCCCTTTCCTTACCTTTTCTGACAGTTATCCTGCGATATTGCAAGATAGACATGATTTTCAAGTGCAAGAGTGTGACAGGTATCCTACGTTATTACAAGGCAGACATGATTTTCAAGATCAAGAGCGTGACAGGTATCCTATGTTATTACAAGACAGACATTATTTTCAAGTGCAAGAGAGTGAAAATGATGCACAATTTGGTAATGATGGTTTTATGTTTAAAGAGTGCCAGCCCCATGGTGAATTGTTTCATAATGATAACAGAACAATCAAGGATGAAAGATTGGCTATATACAATAGGGCGGAATATCAGAACAAAGTGGTCCAGCAGCAGCTGGATGTTCATGAACCGACAAATGCGGACTACCATGAAGTTACTTCAGTGAGTCCTGCTCTGTATCAGGATTCTGATTGCCAGGAGAAAAGGAGTAGTGTGTTTTCTCGCTTGGCTTTGCCTCGTAAGTTACGTAAAAAAGAAAAGAACACATCTCCTAGCACTACTGACATCAATAGGCATACCTCAATTAATGAAAACATGGACATGCTGCACCGAAACCATAACCATTGGGTGGATACAGTTGATAAACCGATAGTCAAACACAGTGCTGCCGCTACCAACCTTAGGGATAAAAAGCAGGCCACTAGGAAAGATGATCCTGCTATGATCTCAGAGGAGATGAATCTGAAGTCTACCTCATTCAGCAAGGAGAATAGCAGCCAAAAAATTGGAGAGGTGACTTTTGTCGATTTCAAACGTCGTAGTGCGGTGAGAAAGAATCTTGAAGATGATAAGACTGGAAACCATTGTGGAACTCAGAATGAAAGGAATGCAGCAGCTGCACAACGTAAAAAGAGAAAATTGATTAGGCCAGACTTCTGTGAGAGTGTGTCATCTGACGGGCATATCAAGTGACGCTTCTCAACTTGCAATATTGCCTTCAACAGAATGTTCTGTCAACAAAAATGCTGAAAGTATTAGGGTTTCTGTTATTCATGTAAATGAAAAGGATACATCGTCAAATGGTAAATTGCCAAATGCAATGTGGCAGGCAGCTGTTAAAGGTAACTACAGTGACAATGGAAGTGACTCAAACTTGGAAAAAAATAGTGCAGAAAACTTCCTTGATTCAAGAAGTGCTGATGGTGGAAAGGAATCATCTAAATATCACTCCATCTCAAGTATGACTTCATTTACTTGTAGGAATACGCATGTTGAAGTTGAGCAAGATATGACCACTAGAGATGCATGGAAAGAGTCATGTCCAAAAATCTGTAAAGACAATGTTGATGATGATGGAGTTGCAAAGAGTGAGTTCGTTTGCAGTATTGAACAGATGAATGACTTGACTCCTGGATTGTCTCAAGATCGAAATTTGGTGAGCCATTCTACTCATGTGTCATCTCATGACAATGATGATGATGATGGTGATGATGGAGTTGCAAAGACAAAGAGTGAGTTTGGTTACAGTATTGAACAGATGCATGACTCGACCCCTGGATTGTCTCAAGATCAAAATGATTTGAGCAGGCATGAGTCATCTACAAAAATCCGTGAAGACAATTATGGTGGTGGAGCTGCAAAGTGAGAGTTCATTTACGATATTGAACAGATGAAAGACGTGACTCCTGTTGGTGGTGAGATATCCATCAGTGCTCTGAACTAAGGCCATCCGAACACCAAATGAGAAAGGACCTCTTGGAGGTCTTGTATTAATGTACATATTTTTTGCAGAAATGTGACTCCCGAAATCAAGCAAAGGCCATCTTTTGGATATTTGGTAAGATAGAATTTGTCAAGTTTCGTAAGGCCCTCAACGCTTCATATACATGAAATGTTAAATGTGGAAGTACTTTCTACAATCTGTTAAGATGAAAGCTGCAAGCGACGCTATGCGGAGAAGCTGTAACACCCATCAGATAGTTAAAGATCGTCTCATGCAAACGAAACTCGTAAGTCATACCATGAATGTGCTTCCACCTATAGGGAACCATGGCAACAAACAAAATTTACAGTTCACGCAATTTCCTACTCTTCTAATCTTGGGATTTTGTGTAAATGTGCTTGGGGAAGTTTTCTCCTTTTGTTCTTCATAGGAACATGTTTATTCCATGTAACTGACTGTCAATGCCGTGTCTTTGTTTACTTACATTGCCATTATCAGTGCAACATGCATAGGATATATTATGTTGTCTGGACTCATCATTTTCCTATAACCATTTGGGTCCGACACTCGTATTTAATGTATAGGCGTGGAGATATGGTTTTCGAAGATTTTCCAAATACATGAAAATACTTATTTTATGCCCTAGCCGTGAAGAAAATATTTTATAAGTTTTAATGTCATCAATTTAGAGTATACTGTAGTAGGTTTTAGAGTTTATATTTAAATACAATTCCCAAAATTAATATTTTTTATAAAAGAAAGATTAGATAAGAATTTGGGGAACGGGAAAATGATAACGTGCGATAGTCTTAATATACGGTTAAAAAAAGGCGTTATCGATTTTGTTATTATTTAAATAACAAAACCGGTAAAAAAATACTGAAGATATTATTATTTCTACTAGTTTTGTTAACAAAACCGATAAAAAGCTATCGGTTTTGTTATTTTTTCTATCTGTTTTGTTATTGTTTAACACTTTACTGAAAATGTAAAAAAATATTGATGTTTTAGGTAGAAATAATAATGTTTTAGATAATTTTTACCGGTTTTGTTATTAAAATAATAATAAAATGATAACGTATTTTTTAGTTATATATTAAAGGTGTCGCACTGTAGAACTTTCCGGGAATCACTTTCAAACCTAAAATTTATTTTGACATAAATTAAATAAGAGAATAAATTCGTTTCAATTCAAAATCGTGATTTTTATATTTATAAACCATATATTTTTCAAATACATATGATTTAAATCGGTTTTCAATTAATCAATTTTTATTATTCAACTCTATATTCACATTATTCTACATATATAACTAATAATAATCTTAATATTAAAATTAAAACAAATTGAAATCCGTAGTCTAAATTATATTAGTCTATATATTTGTCGGTTTTTGTTTCGTGTATGAATTTGTATCGGAAAAGTCAAACCAATAATAATGACGATAAGAATAAATCAGATCATATCTGTATTTTTGTGTTCGTCGATTGGTACATGTGTCATTTGTACAGTCGTTGCCCATTGGCGTTGTTTTCCCTCAAGTTTCCCAACCCTAAACCACTTACTTTTAATTGGGGATGGCGATGTTGGAAGACGTTGTTCAATCGGTGGAGATGTGGTTGAAGCTGAGAAGCAAACCGCAACCCTACATTGAACCGGATCTCGACCCGGTTTTATTAGTCCCGGGTATTGCCGGCTCGATTTTGCAAGCTGTTGATCATCAGAATGGGATTGAAGAGCGGGTTTGGGTTCGCCTTCTGGAGGCCGATTATAAGTTCCGTACCGAGCTCTGGTCCCGCTTCGATCCTGCTACCGGTAATTGTTTCTTTTTATATTTATAAATTTAGTGGAACTGTTTTTTTTTTGTGGGGGTGGGGGGGAGGGAGGTTGAGTATTTGAGAAACTTTATACTCATGAACAATTAAAATCAACTAAGTCGTTCTAATCTGTGAGCTAATATTTGGTAGAATTTGAAGAAAGAATGATCTCATATGAATTAGGTGTTAAAAGTTTTTAAGAGACTACTTTCTTATAGGACTATGGATTTTGCCCTTTTTGTGTTTGGGATTTTGTGGATTGTGAAGTAATTATGATGTTTTTGGTTCATTGATCGTGAAACAGGTAGAACCGTGTCCTTAGATCTAGACACAAGTATTAAAGTTCCTGAAGAAAGATATGGATTGTACGCCATTGATGTGTTGGATCCTAACATGGTATATATATATATATTTTTTCTTACTATCATTACTTTAATGATTGATAAACGATGTCCTTTGGATATTACCTAAACTAAAAGGTAGATTAGATTATTTTGTATGAATTACATTTTCAGTAAAAGTGTGGCTTATAGATTCTGAAATGCTAAGGGAACCCATATGGAAGTCTTTCCTTAAATTTGTATGGAGCTAATGTCTGTTTTCCGTGGATTCTTTGTTTTCATGTAGATAATCGGACGTGAGTGTGTTTACTATTTCCATGATATGATTGTTGAAATGACAAAGTGGGGATTTCAAGAAGGGAAAACTCTTTTTGGTTTCGGTTATGATTTTCGCCAAAGTAACAGGTATAATCATATTATTGATTAATTTTTATTTGCTCCTCGCTGTAACTAAGGATAGTGGCCTTCTTTTTCCTTGTAGTTTATGTATTTGTTTCTAGGGGTTGATTCTAGTTTCCCTTTTAGGTTGCAAGACACATTGGATCGCCTCGCATCCAAACTGGAGATGGTGTATAAAGCATCAGGAGGGAAAAAGATTAATATCATAAGTCATTCTATGGGAGGACTTCTGGTAAAATGTTTCATGGGCCTTCACAGTGACGTAAGGAATCCACTGCAGCACTGCCATCTTCTTCTAGCTTTGCTTTTTCTGCTTTTACCTTGCTATGCTCTTTAAGTATTGCATCTCTTTGTGACTCAATGCTTCTTTTATTGTGCAGGTTTTCGAGAAATATGTAAAGAACTGGATTGCAATTGCTGCACCATTCCGGGGTAAATGGTCTTATACCTTGAGCATACAAGACAATAGTTTTCGGATCATTAATTGCCCGAGAGGAAACTGCTAAATAATACAACAAATTCTGTTTGAAATATAACTTAAAACATATTAGATTATTTTCTTTGAACATTACGATTTTGAACTTTTACCGAGCATTTCTTCAGCTTCTTGAAATCTGAGAACTGAAAGTTGTTAATACATTGGATTTATAGTAGAAATTACAGTACAGATTACAGAGTAATGGATCCTAGGATGAGCTTTTACTTTTCTTTTAATGAAAATTGTAAAATATATATTGGTTCAACCACCTGCTTGTATTTCCAAATGAGAATTATTTTTGTTATGTTTCATTCAAAGCTTTCTTACGATACACATGAACAGTCTTGGATTACACAAGTTAGATATTCACTTTATTTATTTTCCTTATTTAAAGCTAGTATTATTCTTTTACATATATTATGTTTCCTTGGCAAATAAAACAAGTAATTTTTCTCATTATTTTTTTTGCTGTTAACACAAAACTTGAAGTATATACGTTTCTCAAATTAATTGTATGCTGGAATTGTCAATTGAATCACTTGAAAAGAGCTTCATATGCTCATCAACTGGTTTTATTCTGATTCAAATTGCTTATTGGGTTGTGATTGAAATGTTTCCATCAGGTGCACCTGGGTATATTGCTTCCACTTTTCTAAATGGAGTGTCATTTGTTGAAGGGTGGGAACAGAACTTTTTCATTTCAAAGTGGAGCATGCATCAATTAGTAAGCATTTTCTTTTTCGTTTAAGCATTTCTACTTGGATGAACATGAGGGCATGGATTGTCTATTGATATGCCTATTATTTATGAAGGTTTCTGAAAAAACTCTTTCTCAAATTTTCTTTTCGAGCCCATTAGTATGTTTCACTCTCACCTAATTCTGCAATCCTAATTCCTTGCTTTGTATTTCATGTGTTTAATTTTTTAGAATCAAGTGACAGAAACCCGCTGCTAGCAGTTATGTAGGGGGCTTCTGGGCTTTGAACCAAGGACTGGATACTTTTAGGCCAAAATCTTAAATTAAATAAGCCTAAAGAATAATGGCGTTGATTCTTTTCCAGTTCATTACGCGAGTAACCTGTAATAAAGTTTATTATGTAGTTAAGTATTGGGAACCGATTAGTGCAACTCATCTTCCTACACTGCCTTATCTGATGGAAGATTATTTTGTGTTATGGTTCACGCAGTTAGTAGATGCAACATAAAATCTCTTTGAAGTGTTTGCTTGGATTTTGTTTTGCCTCTTCCTTTTCATTGTATCTTTGAGGTGGTTAAGACTATTTATTTCTGTCCTGCATTATCAGTTGATTGAGTGCCCATCGATATATGAGTTAATGGCTTGTCCAAATTTCCATTGGCAACATATGCCGCTTCTTGAGATCTGGAGGGAGAAAGAAGGTTGTGATGGATCTCCTCGTACTATTCTAGAGTCTTATCACCCTGGAGAAAGCATTGATATCTTTAAGGAAGCTCTTTCAGGCAACACGGTAAGCTATGAACTTTGCTTATGCAAAAGTTGTTAATCTCTGTTGAGTCCAGTTCCAGAAATAAATAGAGAGAACTTTGGTGTTTAGTACCTTAAGATAAAAGAGGGTGTTTCTTTACCAAGTGGTTTTAAGCAATCTAATGAGTAGCCGTGTAAATGGTTTAAGACATTTGCTATGGTTCCTCTGTAGTTCAATAGCTTGTATTTTATATTCAGGTCGATTATGGTGGAGAGAATCTTCCACTTCCATTTAATTTGGAGATCTTGGAATGGGCTAGACACACACACAAGGTGTTGGCTCAAGCTAAGCTTCCCCCTGGAATTAAATTCTACAATATATATGGGATCAATCTTGAGACACCACATAGCGTCAGGTAATACCTCTATTTGGCTGTTTTTTTTAAGTGTTCCATTATGCATCCTATGATCAATCTTTTAACAAATTTGCAGCTATGGAAGCGAAGAGACACCCATCACAGATCTACAGGATCTTCGGTTTTATCAGGTAATTTGTGGCTAATGGCTGCTCTCATTTTCATGCTGTAGTTCTGGGGCCTACTTTGTGATAGTTCACAATGTTCGGTATGTTTTGTTTCTATGCATGTATTTGGCTACTGATTCTGAGTTTCTTCTACTTATCAGCCTACATATGTATGTGTTGATGGCGATGGAACGGTTCCGTCAGAATCGGCTAAGGTTAGCTAACTTCCCCTATTACAATTTGCCATGGTTTTATCATTTACATGGTACTTACCATAACTCATGTTTTATCCTCTTCTATGGGATTGTTGTGATTTATCTGTAATCTAGTCCGCAATATCTCTCGACTTATTTTAATTCTGGTTATTCTTAGGCAGATGGGCTCGATGCTGAAGCGAGGGTTGGAGTCTCCGGTGAGCACCGAGGAATTCTTTGTGAACCTCATCTATTTCGAATTCTCAAGCACTGGTTGAAGGCAGGCAATCCCGACCCATTCTACAACCCAGTAAACGACTACGTGATATTACCGACAGCATTTGAAATGGAAAGCCTCTGTGAGAAGGGCTTACAAGTGACATCACTCAAAGAGGAATGGGAAATCGTCTCCGAAGATCAAGACAGTCTTGACAATACAGCTAGTAAAGACCCACTTGTTAACTCCATATCTGTTTCAAAACGGGGAAAGAAGCAACCCACAAGATCCGAAGTTGATGCAACAGCCATCGTTCATCCACAAAACGAGGGTAAGCAACACATTAAGCTAAATGCCATAAGTGTATCTGTTGATGCCTAGAGTTGAATTGTGTAACTTGATGACTTCTGCAAGTTCAAATCATTTCAAATTACTTGTTCCGTTCAGTTTGAGTTTTAATCCGACTCGGATCGGAACTATGACGTTTGAAAAAAGTTCTGCATTGTCATTGATAAAATAAGGACAACAAATCATCGAAAAGAAAACTGCATAAAATTTTATCCAAACAGCTAAATTGACAACCACAATTTTAAAATCAAACAAAGATTGGTCAAAACAAACTATAAATCCATCTCTTCCAAATCAATCCCCACCAGCCTTCTGGTAAACATAAGTAAGCCCACACTTACCGCAATAATGCCTCCACACTCGGCATTAGGGCACTCTTTCCTCGGCCTCTCAACCTTCCCAGACTCATCCACCTTGTAGATCTGGAGCACTGCAAGCTTCACCTTCTTCTTCTTGTGCTTGGTGTATGTCTTCTTCTTCCTCTTCTTGGCGCCGCCCCTTAGACGGAGGACGAGGTGAAGAGTGGATCCCTTCTAGATGTTGTAATCGGCTAAGGTCCGGCCACCCTCGAGCTGCTTGCCGGCGAATACGAGTCGTTGTTGGTCCGGTGGGATGCGTTGGCTTTGACATTGTCGATGGCGTCGGAGGACTCGACCTCTAGGGTTATGGTCTTCCCCGTTAGGGTTTTGACGAAGATCTGCATCTTGACTGTTTCCAAATGGGAGATCTTTTTTCTTAACTTAAAATCATCATATTGATAATAGTAGAATGCTTAATTGAAAATTCTTCTTTAACATTTATTGACTTTGGGTTAGTATGAACTTTAGGGTTACTAGATTAGATTATTCTTTCTAAATTAGTATTTATTATCCAACGATAATAGTAGAATGCTTAATTGAGGTTTAGAATGTTTAAATTGAGATTTAGCCACACACAATAAAACCTTAAATTGAGCTAGTTTAACTAGTTCAGGGAAAACACACAGATTAAATATTTTTATAATTTGAATATTGTAATATAATTGTTGAGATATTAATGTGTGGAATATGACATTTTTTTTCAAGAAACGGAGAAATGATTTTTTTTAAAAGAAAGGATCTTCCGAAAATAATATTGGTTATTCTCATATTGAAAATTTGGTAGATCAAAAGGAGCACAAACTTAATAGTAATTATCCTCGTATCGTGAGAGCTCTCCAAATCGGCACCCATTAATTCTCCGATAATAGATAGTCGTCCGAGTAAAGCTCCAAGAGTTGAACAATAAACCTTTGATGCATTCACTATTGAGCGTGATCCCGAACTATGGAATTTCATTTGGGATTTTCCTCCAAATCAACAAGATGAAGTTCAAAGAGTGTATATCAGAAAATGTCTTTAATTTTGAACTTTCTCAGCCATGAAACTACTAGTGAAGACTCACTTGCGTAACAAAAAGGAGGATGAATTTTTGTTGAACTACTTAATAACATATATTGAAAATGATATTGCACATGGTTTATCAATAGATTCTCTTATTGATGACTTTAATCCAATGAAAGAGCGTCGGGCACAATTTTAAATGCCTACTTTTGACAAGTAAGAATATGGTATTTTATGAGTTATCTTATAACTTCAATTTCTATAGTTAGTAAGTTTTCTTCTCTCTAACATATAAAACTCTTGTATATTGGTGCAAATTCTAAATCGTTGTTTTTTGTGGAACAGAAAAGAGGAGAATGAGGAAGAATGTTATTTGATGTGCATATTTCTTTTACTAGTTACTATAGTTGTTATTTTATATTAACTTATGTCATTATAATTTTACTAAATATAAAAGTTTGCACCCTTGACGTAAAATCCCGCGTCCGTTCCTGACTACCATCATTGTCGATCATTCACGCATTAGTCGTCGATCACCCCTAATCAGCCATCACCCTAATCCTTTAAAATCTCTAAAATTCTCATTATTTAGTGAAAATACAAGCAACATTCCGTGTTAATCAAATCAACAGAAGACATCAACACATGTATAGATTTTTCTACTTATTTTTAAGTAGAATTTTAATATTATTATATGTTTTATTTGATGTCTAAGATTTCAAAATTTAAAATATTGAAATCCCATTAGTCACATAAAATATTTCAACATTATAACCTAAAATAATTACACATGTATAGATAAGTATCGTACAACAAAATGAAGACAATAACAATGCCATTGGGACCCTTTCACCCAATGCTTTCTCTTAGTTTTCCAAAGGAAAATCATAAAAGTTATCAAAAGTATGAATTGGATCTTATGAGAACTCACAATTCTTGTCTTTGGTATTCATTTGCAAATCTTAATATATAATAAAAGTATTAAAAATAATCTTAACTATCTTGGTGATTATCAGCTTTTTGAAATAAGTTGCATTCAAATTAGGGGAAAAGGAAGAACTATACCTAATTTTTAAGATTGGCAAAATGTTTAAATCACTTTTCAAAACACCTCACTTTTAAAATACGCTTAATTATAATTATAAAATAAGTGCCAAAATTATACTGTTTTTCACGAATAGGTGCTTAAATTATTTTCTGAATGATCTCGATGCTTGACGTTACAAACGTTGCAACTTTAGGTTTCCGGCCGTAAACACCGTTAATTTCCTCCGTTAAGTGACATGTGTCACATTTTAAAATTTATTTATTTTTTAAAAAATTTAAAAAAAAATTATATTAAAAACATAGTTTCTTTTAAATTACAAAAGAAAAAACTAAAAATCCTAAATCCCTAACCCTAACCTTCTATCGTCGTCCTTTTTGGACACGACCATCTCAGTCGACCTACTTACTGCAATCCTCGTAGTCACACACTGTCGTAGTTATCGCCATTGACCGTCGAAATCGCATGGGATCGCAATTTTCATCCTAGGGTTCGTGGGGTACAAAACGTCGATTGGTCGTCGATCTTTCGCGATTTCATAGGGATATTGATCGCCAGGGGGAGGCGAGATCAGGTGGAGCTCATCGACGGCAAAGAATGGTGATCGGTTTGAATTTAGGGGTTGAAATGAAGGTTTTCAAAGTTTGAGACTATTTCAAAATTGTGTTTTTTCTATATATATATATATATTAGTTTTTAATTTTAAATAAATTTTTAAAATTACTAGAATATGGCATGTCTCACTTAACGAAGAAAATTAACGACATTTAATGTTCGAGCATCTAAAGTGGTAATGTTTGTAACGTTACGCATTGAAATCATTCAAAAAATAGTTTATACACATATTCTTGAAGAAAGGTGTAGTTTAAACGCTTATTTTATAATTAAGCCTTAAAAATATGATAATCATGATCTTCTCCAACAATAATATGGTACCTTTTTTTCTTTCCAAAAAAATGTTAAAATTATAAAATTTTAATAAGAGGTACAAACTTAATAAATTTTAGAGAATGAAAATAATTATAAATAAAAACACATAAAAATTAAAATATATGAAAATTTTAAATTTTAAGGGACGATTGTCACCCTCGTTACATCCTTTATTAGGTTCATCTAATATTATTATTGGATTGAGAGAATTATTCTTGTAATAAATCTTTTAGTAATCAATGCTTAATTAATAAATAAATTAAATAATAATATTTTATAAAAATAATAGAGTATATGTTTTGTAATAGAATAAAATATATAAACTTATTTGATCAACAATTTATTTTAAAATGTAATTATTTTTTAATAATCATAACAACTTTAAAATTCCCTCCAAACATGCTGTTTAAGAATTAAAAAGTGAAAGAATTTATTCATAAAAATCTTAACTTTGAACGAAACAGAAGTTGCTAATCAGCAATAAAATCAATTATTATTACGCAAAAACCTTTCAAAGTTTCAATTTTGCTGTTGTTTTCTTTCTCCCTTCAAAGTTTAATCCTTATTAACCCCTGTTCACTCTAATTTTATTTTTCTTATTTCTATATATCCGAAAATTCAACAAAAGAGTGATTCCGAAGAGAAAACGAAGGGAAAGCTTCAAATCACAGATCTCTATTTGTTTTCTATTTGAAACCCAGATTTCCATTTTAAAAAGTTTATAAGAAAATGGCACCGAAATCATTGATCTCTGCGTTTGTATCTCGTGGAGATGTTATATTATCCCAGTACACTGAATACAGTGGGAATTTCAATTCCATAGCTCTACAGTGCCTCCAAAAGCTTCCTTCTTCCAACAAGAAGTTTACTTAAAGCTGCGATGGCCACACCTTCAATTATCTTGTCGATAATGGCTACAGTAAAGATTTTTTTTTTAAAATCTTTTAGTTTTTATTTTCAAGAATTAAAATTGTTGGTTCTGTGATTTCAAAGGTTTGGGTCTTTTGTGAAATGAACGAAAAGCAAAATGAAAGAGAGGAAAATTTTGGAGCTTTTATTTTTCATTTTAAAGTATAATCTGATCGTTGGAAAAACATGGGATTTAGGATCTAGAGGGGAAGCTTGGATTTTAGTTTCTGCCATTGAATTGTTTAGGAGAAAATTACTTGTAAGAAATGGGAGAAAAATAGAAACTTCGTGTTTTATGCTGCTGTTTTTCATGTTAGTGAAGTTTATATTTTATTATTATGCATTACAGAGTATTGGAAACTACACAAATTGAACTTAAAATAATTATCTGTGTATATGTATTGTGTTCATGTATATGCAGGTTGTTGAAGGCTCATGTGCTAATGTGGCTATTCTATTAAGTTCTGAGTTTATTCTGAAACTTTGGGTGAAAGAAGGGATATCGATATGGTTTATCTTCCCTGTATTCCGGATTCCATGTTGATGGTGAAACCGGGGGAGAGGGGGTGTGGGAGAAATATATTATTAGAAGTCGATTCAAGATTCAGTGGGAATTTTATTGTTTATGCATACTGCTTCAATGAAGTCTAATTGACTCCTTGGTGGTGGTAGAACCTTCTTCTATGTTATCACTTGCATTCTCGTTGTCGTCTCCTTTTTTCATATTGTGTTGGCTGACTTTTCGATGTTGCAGTTTATTGCGTTGTTGCAGATGAGTTGTCCGGAAGGCAAATACCAATTGCATTTTTGGAGCGTATCAAGGATGACTTTGTGTCAAAATATGGTTGTGGAA